ACAATTCGTTCATCGGTCACAGATCACAAAATTTGTAAGTCACAATACTTATTTATGGTCACGAACATCACATTAATCGAACATAAATTATATTTAGGTCACAATTTATCAAATTATTGGTCACAATTTAATAATTTTTAGATCACACAGCATGTATTGGTCACAATTTATCTAATTCATTAATCACATATTGTTTATTGGTTACAGAACAACCAAATTATTGATCATAATCAACCAAATCATTTGTGACCACCTCTTCACTACTGCCTCCACCAACGGCACAACCACTGTCGCCGCCCAATAGCAATATCAACACCTCAAAACAAACACCACCCCCTCCCCAGCACCACTATCACCACCCAAAAACCACAACCGCCACACGCACCACCAACATGCACGCACGACATATCCAACGTCGCCAACACGAACGCATAGCGAATCCCGACCCCACCGCATCTCCACCACCATCGCGCAACGCGACCACCACCACCGCCGCGGCCGCCAACACCAACACTACCATCACCACCACTTCCCAGTAACAAAATCACCGTTTCAAAACATCATAGCCAACGTCCTAACCGTCAACACCACCACCACTGTCCCTCCACCACCCTTACTGCACCGCCGCTTGCCTGATACATCGCCAGATCTAACATAATTGTCGCTACCCAAACACCACCACCACCACAGCCCCCATCCACGACTGAAAACACATCCCAAAAATCCCATATCAAATCACGACAGTGCGGATCCCGAAAATGACTGGCAGCCCACCACCGGTCCCCATACCAGATCAAGATGGTTCAGATCTCCCGACCACAGCACAAACATAACCACGACCATCGTCGCCGTACATACACACACCCAACCATCGCACTGCAACCACACCCACAGCAACACCATAAAACTCCATTGCACCAGTAAAAAAAAACGATCTGGATTGCGTAGAGCGCAGTCGCAGCACAGCGGTGCGGCAGCGCACTTCGCAAAGCTGCCCCATCCTTGGGCAAAAGAACCGCGTCGTTGCTACGAGAAAGAGGCGACTGAGCTCCTATGCAAGAGTCCCTTTCGTCGGAGTGGAAGAGATAGAAGAAGGATAGAGAGAGAGTGCGAGAGAGAGAGAGAGAGAGAGAGAGAGAGAGAGAAGATACTGTTGGTTGAGAGAGAGAGAAAAAAAAGGTAAATGATTAATTGATTTTGTAATATAATTATTAATATTAATTTTTTTAATTATAACCTAATTTTTGAATATACAAACTTTGGATCTAATTTTGAAATTGGATTTTAAAACATAAGACTTGGTGTAATTTCCTCATCTTGAAATTCATATGCTTACTTTTGGAGTTTTAATCGGATCAAATTGCTTGTTAGAGTTTAATGGGCTCTGATATCATGTTAAGAATTTGAATCTATCTTAAAAGATCAACCTTATTACGAGGAGTAATCCAATCTTTTATAAGTTGGTTGATATTTAGGGGTACTTACAAAAATACCCTTAAAATTAAGAACGTTTTGAAAAATCATATGAAAAGTTTTTAGGAAGTAAAAAATACTGTGTAAAATAAAAAAGTGACACAATGTCACTTTTTTAATAAAAATTGTCACTTTTTTTACTTTTTAAAAAAAATTAACACAAAATCAAAAAAAGTAACAAAATTCAAAAAAAGTGACACACTC